AAAGTAGCAACAACGCTACACATGTAAGTAAAAATAATTGAGTATCTGAACAAATAATTCTAGTCTCTTCCCAGAATTGATTGTCCTGACTAATCACCTGTTAGGCCTAATTAATCTTAGAATGTTTTAAAATGTTGCAATTGTGATGTATTTTAGTGATAGTGATATGATCAAGCTGTTGACGAACTGTGATTGTTTTTTAAATTAATGAAAACAATTTTTTTTACTATCTGTTATTTTAGAGAAACTGATGATGGTGGAAAACACCGAAACGTATTTTAATTGATAAATAGACCATAAATGACTGAAGCCTAGGAATTGATTTTGATTTGGAGTTAAGTTTAATATTGGGGTTTGACCTCACATGCGTTTATACAGCTAAACTTAACTGATACATTTAGAATATGTTGAATAATTGCAATAGATAAAGGAACTTCTGATTCCATTCATGAAAACTATATTCTGGTAACGAAATTTAGAGTGTTCTCTTAGAGTGTCATGTTCAGGCACTTTATCCCGATTTATCGCATATTTTCGCTAATAACTTCCATCCCCTAAACGTGACGAGTTAGTATTATTTTTGCAAGAAATATCTCAACTTAACGAAACATTAAAAGTCTTAATTTTTCTAAAAAAATAATGGAAACGCACATGTTTAAAACGGAAATTTACAGCATGTTCAAAGTTATTTTTATTGGAATTCAAGTTTTTGATTCAATTCAAAAAATTCAACCAAAAACTTAGTTTGGACAAGTCAATCCAAATAAATCAATCAAAAGAATGAATTCAACACAAGTCAACGAACAACTCGATTTAGACTCAGCCCTCTAAAATTATACATTTCAAATAACTGAAATATAGAAAAATAAATGACGTCATCTAAGGACCGGAATATAATTGCAATCGTATAATGTCTAATACATGTCTAGGTAAATATTCTGTATTTGTCTATTTGAAGAAAATATTTTCATAATTCATCTACTTTCTTTTGGCGTTAATCAACTTGTCCAATGCCATAATTTCTGCTTCTCCAGGTCCAAGATCGCCTTTATTGACTTCACGATTTGCCCGCTGTGCTCCTGTCGACTTTGTAATCGATTGAACCTCATTGGAATCTGAATTTGCGTTGGCAGTGGCGGTGTTAAAAAAAATGGGCGGATCAGTTTGGTCTTTGTGATGTTGTAAAGAGAGTTCATCAGGTGTCTCAGAACTTGATACTGGTTGAGACCCCAAAAACATTCCCAGCAACTCTGTAATATTAAAAGCATGTTTAGTACTATCAGTAAAAGTATCTTAATACTATCAGTAAAATAACAAATCTACTGTGAAAATGTATGAAGCCCCAAAATTAATACTTTCGAAGAAAGGCACTTTCAGATCCAAAAATTAATGCTACATCTTACCTTCTGTTGCATTACTTGTTCGGAATAGTTCGGTGATAATCATAACCCATTCAAATCCAGGATCATTTATTGTTTGGGGTATAACTCTTAAAATGAAATTGGCAAATCGTACTCCCTGTTGAATAACATCCCTCAGCAGCCTAAGATTCTGATTTGTATACAATGAAGCTAAAAATCTTACAATTCGTATTTTTAACTGGAAATATCTGGCTAAAGAAGCGAGTTTTGTGGAAAATATGTCGACCAATCGCTGAGACAATAATGTGGCAATTGGTCTCGTCTGGGCTTCTGACGACGTTATTACATTAACGTTGGTAGACGGGAACGCTGAGATATACACCAACGTTCCGAAAAGAACAACCTGAAAATAAGAGAAGTAGTTATGAAACAAAATCGTTTAGAATAAATCAGTGTAATTTTAAAAGATTCATATTTATCATGACTTCACAGAATTCGTTTAGGCATCTTTGGATAGAGAATTGAAAACTCGATCCAGCCATAACAACATGAGTGGGGAAATTCCCGTAGTTTTGCCCAAAAAGCGAAATTTGAATTTCAGACACTTAGGTGCAAAGATTATGTCAAAATATCATTCAATTTTCGTCCCGTTTTTGCTCATTCCTCGGAAGAAAAATGAGCAAGAACGCACATTTTTCCACCATTCTAGAGCGAAATAAATGTCTTTTTTTTTGGTAAATGAACCATTGAAAAGGAAATGTTGGCAGTTTTCCCAAAAAAATCTTGATTTCAAGAAGTTTTAGATTTGCGTGTTTTTTTGAAGTTACAAAATAGACTAAAACATTTCGAAGTTTCTCAAGCCGCATTTGAGCTACAGAATTCGTTTTGGCATCCTTGGATATACAATTGAAAACTCGATCCAGCCATAACAACATGATTGGGGAAATTCCCGTAGTTTTGATCCAAAAAGCGAAATTTTAATTTCAGACACTGGTGGAGTGCAAAGAGCATGCCAAAGTTTAATGTTTTTTGTTTCGTTTTCGCTCATTACTCGGAAGTAAAATGAGCAAGAATGCTTATTTTTACATCATTCCAGAGCGAAATAAAGGTCGTTTTTGGAAAGTGAACTTTCTATACGGAAATGTTTCCAGTTTTCTCAAAAAAGTCTTGATTTCAAGAAGTTTTAGATTTGTATGTTTTGTTGCTCAAGTTTCAATTTCATGTTTTCGGTCCCGTTTTTGGTCATTTCTCGAAAGCAAAGTGAGCAAGAACGCTCCTTTGTACACCATTCCAGAAGAGATAATTAAATGACCTTTTTAGAAAGTGAACCATGGATCAGGAAGTGTTGGCAGTTTTATCAAAAAGCTTTGATTTCAAGAAGTTTTAGATTTACGTGTTTCTTTAGTTACAAAATCGACTCAAACATCACGCTGCTATTTTCGAAGTCATAACAACATGAGTGAATAAATTTGAGTAGTTTAGACCCAGAAAGCGAAATTTGTATATCAGACATTTCCGTGCAAGATTGTGCCAAAATTTCCGTTTTCACAAAAATCTTGGTTTCAGGACGTTTTAGATTTGCGCGTTTTTTAGTTGCCACCTGGCATATTATAATATCGAGGAACATCCATTAAAATGTGCATATTTTAGCTTAGCACAAAGGAACAAAGCTAAACACTTTTGAAAAAACAAATTAATATAAAGAAGGTTTTATAAGCCGTTGTTAAAAATTAGTGCGCCTCCGCATTCTCTATAAACTTTTGTGAACTTTTGGAACCTACAGTTTCGAAATCGATGTAAGTATAATTTTTTCCTGTAAAGAACTTTAAAAGCATTTGTATATTCAACGACTGTTGAAACTACAGAAGATTTATGGAATCGTATCAGTAGTAAATAATAAATTTATTTTTTATTTTTTT